GTGGAAAATTTCGACTATCAAACAGTCAAAAAAGTGGAAAGTGGAAAATATTTTCCTACTTCCCCGAAAAATACGGCCTATCAAACACGGCCTTAAATCAATCACCAAAGTGACATATCATTCAACTCACAGCAGCCTGATCTTGCTCCTGCCTTGTGACACCAAAACGACTGGCAACATTTTCTGAGGTAATACCCATTGGGAGCAAACAATCTTGAGCTTGTGCCATAGTTTTGACTTCATTTATTGAAAAGATGTTAACACATAGCATGGCACTCCTTACCAATGAAAAGAATAGCACTTTATGATACAAAAAAAATATACTTTTGGATTGACTGAGCCTTCCCAATCCATAGAATTGACAATCATTGATTCCAATCCAGCACCAATCCCTGATTCCGAAGGTTGGAAATTCAATAAATGACAAATTATATTTGCAACCGATTCATCTATGACTGGTTTTCACCTGCCCTTTGTATGTTTGGAACCATTTGTTCATGGTATATGTCGATTGCTTTAATCCACATCAGTGTAATATTACTTTTTGGCCGAAATTAGTGGAGGTGAAAACTAATAACCGTTTAAGAGACGACATACAGATTAGCTCTTAACAAACAACATATACAAAACTTTGCATTTTGTATTAGTAGAAGGTACCCTTTAAGCACATATGCATGTACCAATATCATAAAACCCATATTTGATGGCGGCAGCAATATCAGCTACTGCTTGAAGGCAAGATGCATTGTGTATCTCCTCTTGTAGCTCCTTAGAATGTATTGTTTTCCAAAATTAGGTAGGACAACCTATAATGGATTTATCTCCTACATTTAGAGCTGCAGGAATTCAAAGTGTTTATCACTCTATCATATGAAACTGATCTTATAAATCTAGTTGTCCAATAAAAAAATTAACTTATACTGATCATAAAGTTTAATTTGTAAATTTTCAGAACAATATAGAGATGGAGCATAGAATTTTGTTGAATGATCTCGTGAAAATTACAATTCAGAAATGATACCATGCCCTTGCGTTAATTGTAGGAATCTAATGCATCATCATTATGATACGGTCTATGAACATTTGGTTATTAAAGGTATGGATCCTACATATACCGTTTGGGTATTTCATGGAGAGCAACCAGGTAAATCAAATTTGGACGACGTAGAAATGCTTGAGCCGGGTAGGATGTTTAAGGATTTCTATGCACAATACGATGTAGATCCTGAAAATCATCCTTATGGAAGAGACAAAGAGATTGAAAGTTTAGTTAATG